TTTATATTTAATTAATTTATATATTGAAGCAAAAATTAAAAATTTTAAATTTTAAATTATTATTTATTTATATTTTAAATACATATACTGTATACTGCATATATAGGGCTTATTAAAAAATTAATTTAACTAATTTTAATATTATCAAATCTTCAAATCTTTTTGTAACTAAATCTCTGTATTACTGCATTTTTAACTATAAATACTCGAAATCTAAACCACAGAATTTAAGCATGTCAAACACTAATAACGTACTCTTTTTGACTGGTGGTGTGGTTAGTGGCATAGGACTACTCTGTGGTATATATATGTTGAGTCAACGATTCGGACAAACTCATAAGTCTAGTAAAGGCAATACTTCCACAAAAAAACCAGTGAATTCTAGTATAGAAATAGAAGACGCGACTCACTTTCATATTAATAATAAAGAAAGTCAAAATCTTCTTAATTTACTGTATTCAATCGCAGAAGATCAGGCTCGTAAAGGTATGCATTAGTGTGGTGGACACATATACTGTTGATAACTAATCCTGACATATGTTATTATTTCTAGAAGGATATATACATCGTAAGTTCGTTGGCTATTGTCATTACTCAACAACGATTAAATAATAATTTAGTCAAACACTTCCAGGTGGAATTACATGCAATAATTGCACTTCAGTACGTTTCAAAAAAATAAGATGCTTTTCCAAACATTTTATTGAGCCGTCAACAATGACACCGCAAGGAAAATTAAAAATTTCAACTATTCACAGTCACCAATCAGGGGAATTCGTTATAAATGTGCCAATTGTGTCGATTACGATCTTTGTGAACTTTGTGAAGGACAAGAAATACATCATAAGACCCACACTTTTATTAAGATAAGAATTCCAATTCCACCTTTAGCCAATCCACGATCTGTACTTTTAAATGTCTTCTACCCAGGCAAGTTGTCAATTCTCTATTAACTGTCACTATTATGCCTGTGCCCTAATACGGAAAACCTCATATCATACACAAACGTTTAGGTATATATAATAACTTTGGTGAATTGGCAAGGGATAGATTACGTGACCTACAGAAAAGGACACATTGTATGCATTGCATTCTTAGTAATTTTATTTGTCGAAATTTCTTATTAATTTCATGAATATTGTATTTATAGTTGACCAGGTTGAGCTTGAAGCTCTTTATGATCAATTTAGGTCACTGGCAACTGTTACCCATGGGGAGGGTGGAATCGACAAGAGTACATTTGAACAGTGTTTGGGTCCGTTGAGCGCCGAACAGAATTTAGTCACTGAACGGATTTTTCAATTCTTCGATCAGGATGGTGATAATGTTATAAATTTCAGCGAATTGGTTATCGGCCTTTCAATACTCTGTAAAGGAAATCTTGAAGAGAAAATCAAGTGTAGTTATAATTTATGACATCTATATATATTGACATTAAATAGAGATCGTTAAAATTTGGAAATATATTTTACTTTATAGGTGCGTTCAAAGGTTATGACCTTAATGGTGATGGTTTTATTAGCCGTGATGAATTGCAACAAATTTTCAAAGCTTACTTTCATATCTCGACAGAGTTAATTAGAGATATTGTAAAGGCGATGGAGGAAGAGGTGTTAGAAAATTATGACTCCAAACCTAGCCAACCAGTGGCAACAGCTTTTCATGCCGCAATCCCTTCTGAAAATAACATCCAATATATTAATCAAAAATCGCAAACGGAAGCGGATAATGACACGATAACGTGGCAGGAAAAAACGCCGGTGGTGGAATGTCTGGGTCAAGACGCCATAGAAGAAATTGTTGAAAAGATATTTACTTCGATTAATACAAATACTAAAGATTATATTTCTTATGATGAATTTAAAGAATATGTTCAAAGGGACCGCTCAATTATAGCTTGGTTCGACGTCTTTGGCAGGTAAAAAATATATCCATTATTGGTATTTTCAATTCAATTTTTACTATTCTAACCAAGTCCACATTATTATTATTAGCATCTTTTAACTGTCATCTTATTGTTGGATTCATGATGTTCTTTTGAGGAAGAGCTTTAGTAACTAGTGAGAAAAAAAAACATGGATTTTATCACACCGCCTGATAATCTGAAATTAGTTGTTCAATTATTCTTAATGATTCATTCGATCTCGTGCAATGTAGGTTATTACTTTAGGACAAAGTATAGAATCTAGTTATTAGAATTATTTTCATTAGGATCATCTATATTGGCTCTATTGTTTTGTTGCTACAGTATTCTAATCGTCATTTACAACAGTGTCCGAGCCAATTTCACTAGAAGTTTCCGGGGCTTCACTAAGTTCACTATCGGATAAGATACCATTTTCAGCTTCATGGTTATAACCGTTGAGATGTAGATTTCGACCATTCGGAGTATTCTCTGCTATTGAACTTCCGTCATCTTCACTGATATCAGTCCGATCATCACTCTCGCTTTGATCACAAGCGTTCTTTATATAATCCTCGTCACTGTTGCTTTCAGTCTCATCATTGTCGGTTAACATGGCGGCGTGAAGTTCACTCCTCATTTTCATGGCATCTTCATAAAGTTTCATAGCACTTTCGAGTGTGTATGTTTGTGGTATTACATCTACAGAATTTCGATATTTAGATTGATAATTCAGAAGTATTAATACATAATGTCCAAATACCTTTTAGAAATCCGAGGTTGCTTGTTCTCGTTACTGCATTAGCTAATTTTAGTAGTATGAATTACAAACTCCTTAATCCTATTTTGAAATTCAAATGTTGGAATAGTTACTTTATTGGAAATTTTATTCACCTAAATCTTGATAGTTCAAATTTTTTCGTCCCTCTTTTTTTGCTTGTTCGAGACCTTGTTTTGCAAGATATTCAATAAATAGCTCCTATTACAACCCAAATTAATTTAGTCACGTGTATTTGATTCCCTTAAAATATTTCAATGACTTATACTCTTCGTTTTCATATGTGAAAAGAATGTCTACCGCTGTCGCCACAAACAGAAAAGACACGTCTGGACCACATGTAACATCGTCTTCTTTAAGAATACGTTTGACACGGGCAACGGGTAATATTGTATTCCCGTTTGAGGAACTAATAGAATTTGGTGCACTTGTTAATCCATTTTTGGTTGTCATTTTGAACGAGTTAAAGAGTCATTTTACGTACCTCTTGAGAAGATAAACATCTTGGTCACGTGATATAGCGAATAAAAAAAAAAAAAAATGTATTTTATTTTTAAAATTTAAACACACTGTATATTAATTATTATAGACTTTGATTTGAACTTTCTAATAAAATTTAAATACGTAATTATAATTAAGTTAATGTTTATAATATTTTTTTAAAACTCTTTCTATTTTATTCTTATAATAACAAAATCTATATACAGTATGTTACAAAAGTATTTGGACTAATATTTTTTAATATAACTTAATAAATAATTATTTAATTAATATAAAAC